GTTAGGAGGGTCAGAAGCACAGTCTGTGGCTAGCCCAGTGCTATGGGGATTTAGACTGGGCCTGGCTGGGGCTGGGTCTCACCAGTGCCTCTGCCGATGCAAAAGGTGGAGGAGGTAGATGCAGCCGAAGAGGAAGACCCCTGAAACCCCCAAGACTCCGGCCAGTTCAGCCCGCAGAATAGGGGCTGGAGTAGAAGCAGGGAGCCCTGTGCAGAGAGAAAGACATACCAGATAGGTGGCTGATGCCCCGAGTCCTTCCCTGCCCTCCCTATACCCCACTCCTCATTAGCCCCACCTTGGTCTGTGCCCAGGAGAAGGTTCCCACAGGCCTCCTGGGAGCCCTCAGGGAAGGAAGTAAACTTGCAGCAGAAGGTGGTGTTGGGACTGGGGCTTCTCCCCTCAGACCCTTCCAGGGTGAGGGAGATGGTGGTTCTGGTTTCCCAGTGGGCCTGGCGGGCAGGAGGCCACTGCTGGATGCCGAATTCTGGGTGCAACACAGCCAGCTTGGTCCCTCCGGCACCATCGCGGCCCCCGCAACTCACAGTTGCTAGGGAGATAGCACTAGATCCCAGGAATCCACAGCGGACAGTGAAGGACAGGGACTTGGTGGCCTCCATCTCAACTTGCACCCACACCTCAGGGGTCCCTGTGGGATACAGACATAGGAAGGACCCAAGGCTTGGTCTCCGCCATGTCTCCACTGCCTCTGCTTCTCTTTGGCCCCCCAACTCACCTGCAGTGATGCAGAGTGTCAGCAGCGCCAAGAGCAGGACCAGGGCCCGGGGCCTGTCCATGGCTCCCCCGGCCAAGGCTCTGGGGGCTGTTGTGGTGGGGACAGCACCTGTGTTTCCGCTCTCATCGCAGGAAGTTTTCAAGTGTGAACAGGCCCAGGGGCAGCTGGGCTTGCTGCTCTCTGCAACCCAGCTCCACTTCCTTCTCTGTCTACCTCAGCTGGTGAACGTGGGGCGATAGACCCCTCCCTCAGGAGACTTAGTGATAGTGACAAGGTTTTTCCTGTCCCCATGCTGTGCTTTAGTGTGAGAGGGTCAGGTGGCTCGGGTTCCTTTCCCAGCCCTGTTTATGGGTAATGACCTGTGCAGACCAAGCCTTGGAGAAGGGAAGAGGTGGGGGAGGGAAGAACACTGCAGAGGAACCTAAAAGGAATTTCCTTCCCTCAGGAGGGAGGGGCCCCTGGTTTCTCTTTAAGATGTCTCTGACCCCAGCCCTCCGGGGTTGGGAATGTGAAGGAACTTGCAAGGGGGAGACCTATAAGCAGGAAAGCCAGCATTGTGGGGTTGAGGGTGTTGGTAACTAAGAGCCTAGCCCAGCTTGACCCAAGCAGCTAAGGGGTTGGGAATGTGAAGGAACTTGGCAAGGGGAAGACCTATAAGCAGGAAAGCCAGCATTGTGGGGTGGAGAGTGTTGGTAACTAAGAGCCTAGCCCAGCTTGACCCATCACTTATCCTCTTGATTAGCCCATTGAGGACACCTCTTAGGTAAACTCTGTCACCCCATTCACATTTGAGAGCCTAGATAAGCAAGGCTCCATGACCAATCACTTCACTGTTCCAAGCCCAGTTAGCATTCTCTTGAACCCTGATGCCTCAGTCTCCAAACCTTACTCAGATCTGCGCTCACCACTTCCTCCATTATGTTCCCTTGACAGGGTGGGAGACCTATGCAGAGCTGACTCACTGCAAGGTGTCCCAGCCCACTGGGGTACATGGGACTGCCAGCCACAGACTCCTTAGCCAGGAAGACTCTTGTCTCCCACCCACTGAAATCCTCTCCACTTTCCAAGGCCTAGCTCAAATCCCACCATATTCAGGAAGTTGTGCCAGAGAGAATATTTCCTTCTTGGACAACCATCTCAGAGGTGACAGATGCCAGTGGTGGCTCTTTTATTCAACCCCTACACAATCCAAGTACATAAAGGAGCTCAATACTTGGTGACCAATGGATTAAAGGCCATGACACAGTTAGTCACCAACTGTATGCCATGGCACCATCTGTATGCCATGCTGTCCCCTCAATAGGGTCTCATTGTATAAAATTCAAGCAATATAGACTAGAAAACATCGAAGTTCTCCTTTACCAGCCTGCTCATTCCTATTCCCCTCCCCATTTTAATTTTCATGAAATTAAAAGTCAATCTTTTATCATTTCTGAATTTTGTGTACTGCTTAGGAAGGTAAAATTTTAAAAATAATTTTATAGTTTTGTTTTTTGTTTAACTCTGAGGGTTTATTTTTAGCCCATGAAGAATTTTAACTTGGGGATGGTATAAAATAGTGTAACATTTTGGGTAGAAAGCCAGATGTTCCCAAACTATTTATTGAATAGTTTCTTTCCAAACTGTTTCAAAATGCCATCTTGATCATAAATTCTTACGAATGGGTCTACTTCTGGATTCTTTCCTATTTTTTTTTCTTATTCCTGTTTCATTACCACATGGCTCTAAGTAGAACACTTTTGTTTTGATATATGTGAGGGCCCTTGTCTTTCTCAGACATTTCTTTGCTATCCCTGAACAGTCAGTCTGCAGTTTTGAGCTCAACTCAAAAGGTCATTAAACCTAGCTACATGAGCCCTGAATCATCAGGCCTGTATTGTTAGCTACATTCCTCTTTGGCCTGGTGGTACAGGTCAGGTGACAGGTCAGGTAACAGTCACTTTTTGCTCTGACATTTCTTGGTGAAAGCCCTGCAGTCAAAGCCCAAGTCTAGCTGCAGTGAAAATAGCCTTTGTGGTCAGTCTTTAGAATAAAATCCTTGAGGGTTTGAACTGGTACCACGATCTCTTAGCTCTGCAAGATTAGACAAAGTGACTTAACCTTCCAGAGCAGCAATATCCCCACAGGAATCATACTCTACTTCATTGCGCAATTGAGAGGAGTATGCAAATTAGTGTAGGTGAAGCACTCTGCTTATGCCTGGCTCGAGCCCTCGCAAGTGTTAGTGACCATTCTTTTATATAAGACACTCTTCACCTGAGTTTGTAGAGACTCACAACTGCTCCATTTATTTTATTTTTACATGTATTTTAAATGTTGTGAAAGACATACAATGCAATTCATATGTCTTACTGTTGATTTGTACACCTGAAATGTACTGGATTTTGTTAAACAAAGTCACAACAAAAAATTTTTTAAGTCAATAAATAAATAAATGTTTTGGAAAAGGTCACTTATATTCCTGCATCAAAGTACTATAAATAGTAAGAGGTAGCATCTGAGTGTATACTATTTGCTAAATTTGTTGTGAGCAATTCACATATATTAGCTCTGCACTTAAAATTACCTTATAAGGAAATAACTTGCCTAGGATCACGAGGCTAGTACACAGTGAAGGTAAGATCTGAACTCTGACAAAAATTTTAGCTTCAGAACCCACACTAATAACAACTATGCTGAGCTCCTTCTCCTACACATAGTTTAAAATTTTAAATTGAATTACAGGATTTTTTTTTGTCAAGAAACTGCAGTCCTCCACCCCATTAACTGGGGATCCTGTGCAGAGTTCCTAGGTTGAGCTGCCTCCCCATCCTGAGGTGAGAGGACACAAAATGCTTTATTTTTCAGCTTTCTATTATACCACTTGGTCCCATAGCTGGTTCTAACCTACTGAGTCAAATTAAATATATATCTTCAAGTTTCCCCAGGGATCTAGGCTCCTCTGCCCACTAGAGGTCTTCTTTAGTTTCCTGGGATTTATCTTTGGTGGGTTTGCCACTCTTCTATTTCTCTGCTCCTTCCTGACCATTTTCTTTAGTGCCTGTTTCTCCAGCTATTCAAAATCAACACACAGGGTTTTCAGTGAATCTGTGCTCAACTTGTTTGTGGATCCTTCCCAAGACTGCAATGTTCTATCGTATCCCCAGGGAAGGAAATACAGCGCTCAAGACTTCGAAATGTCTACATGGGAAAATAATCCTTTCCTCATCCCACCTCATCCTCTCATGTCATCCAAACACAAATTCTTCTTTCATCCTGCAACCCCTGGGATCAGTGTTGCCTTGAGTTCAAAAAATGGTGACTCAACTATCGGCTAAAGATCTTTCTCAGCAATCTGGAAAAAACCCTTTCGCATTATAATTTTGGAGAGAACACTAACAACTCACCCTCTGGCAGAGCTCATGCCACAAGAGTTAAAAAAAACTATTGAAAATTATTTAAAATAATTATAAAGCAATTATTGAACAGTAAACTAACAGGCAATGCACAGCAGTACATACATCTCCTGAAAAGTATTGCTTGGTGTCACTTAGCAATCCTGGTAAGCTTAAGCCTATTCAGAAGCTTCCGCCTCTCCTGCCTGAACTGGCCTCAGATCAGGTTCCAGTTTGGCCTGGGCCTGACCAACTAGAGCTGCTGCTCTTGAAGCCCATAGCCCTGCCTCAGCTGGCAAGGAGCTTACTGGCACTAAATTCTTCAAAGCTGTGGTTGTCTAGGTAGGGTGTGTGTGTGTGTGCCTCACGTGGTATACAAAATATCCACTGGTGTCATGTAGAAAAAATGATTAACATTTCTAATTTTTTAAGATAAAAACACAATGAAGTTAACTTTTATTACTACTAAGTGACACCGGTGCCCTCATTAAGATCTAAATTTCATGGCTTTCTAATACAATCAGCATCCTAAGGTAAAAGAGGTAAACTCATAGCTTATTATGATGGACTGCAAGTTATGTGCTACAGAATGTAGTGGGTTCTGTGGTTCCAAACAATGAGTTATCCCATCTAAATACGCTGTTGTAGGTAAAAAGACAACCATCCGAATGGGAAAGTGGTTACCAGAGGACTATATTTGCAAGCAACAACTCCAATAAGGGCCTAATATCCAAAATATACAAAGAACTCACACAACTCAGTAACAACAACAAAAAAATGATCCAATCAACAAATGGGTACTAGTGGGATGGGGGAGAAGCGGGGAGGTAGACGAGGTAAAGTGGGGTAAATATAGTGGGGTAAGAGGAGGGTGAAGTGGGTAAAGGAGATCAGATATATGGTAGCTGAAGGAAACCAGACTTTGGGTGGTAAACACACAATAGAATATACAGATGTTAAATTATAATGTACACCTGAAAATTAGATAATTGCATTAACCAATGTTACCCCAATAAACTTAATTAAAAATAAATACACTGTTATTTGCACCTGGAAATCCCTTTGTGACTTGTTAAGCCTTCTGAATGAAGAATTTCAGAAGATTTTGATTCATCTATTAAAAAAATAAATACAGTCAAAGAAGCACCTATTCCATTTGGATTTGCATGTTTTTGAGAGGTCCTCTTTTCAGTTATGGTCATTAAAACTATAAAAATAAAATAAACTTTGTACTAAAATAAAAAATGTTAAGCCATGATTTAAAAAAATTTTCACTTTGCACTCACCAAAATGTTTTTAGTGCAAAAGGTATTTTGTACTGTGAACCAATAATTTAGCAGCTTTTTCATCGCTAACTCATCTATTATAGTTTTAATAAGTAAAACAAGTAGTAAATACTGATAAAATGTGTAGATAAAAATTTTTAACTGATAAGATGCCCAAACATTTGGAGTCTTAAAACTTCCAAGTTCTGTTTTACTTCCTAGTGCCACATAACCAGCCCTGATATAATGGTATAAACACCACCACTGTTTAATCATGCTCATGGATTCTATGGGTCAGGAATTTAGAAAGGCAGAGAAAGATGGATTGTTTCTGCTCCCTGATGCCTGGGGCCTCCGTTGGGTGTTGGAATGATCTGACTCACATCTGAACCATGTCTGGTGGTTGATGCTGGAGGTAGGCTGGGACCTCGACTAGGGCTGTTGGATGGATACCTACACATGGCCTTTCCATGTGGCTGCTTGGGGCTTTCTCACAGCATGGTGACTGGGTTCCAAGAGCGATTATCTCAAGAAATAAGACATGGAAGCTGCTGGTTGCTTTAAAGTCTGGGCTTGGAAATTAGCATAGCATCACCCTACCATATTCTGTTAATCAAGCAATCACAGAGCCCATATTCAAGAGGAGAGGACTTAAAACCCAATCTCTCAGTAAGGGGTGGAAAAGAATTTGAGGAACATAGTATAACACTTGCACATATTCTAAGGTTGGGGCTCAACCTACTATACTGGACTGTCTGGTTGCATAACAATTTCCACATTTACAGAGCTTCCAAGTTTCTCTTTTGATCTTGTGAAGTACCTTCAGCTTGGCTGGTATTTAAATAACATTTGGAATCTTTCCCCTCCTGGATCTTTAGTGACCTCCTATCTTTACCTGCTTTCCCACTCAGTTCTCAGATTTCATAGAAAAGCCTCTTCTCCCTGAAGCTATTCCACCTGAACAAAGGCTAAAGATCTCTGAATGGGTCATGTCCCTAGGGTACTGGTAGGTTGCCTTTAAAAGGATACTCACAAACCCAACTTCTAGCTTTTATCTGGGAGGGAGAGTGAAGGAGTAGAAGTGGTGTGGCTGAGTCTCGTGATGGAGGAAGTCATAGTTCCTTCTATAAGACCACTACTTGGATGGTTGTATTTAGCCTGTGTTCAGTGAGAACACAGTAAGAACTTGAAATTAAAGTAGATGCCCAGGACAGGGAAGAACTGAAAATCATATCTAAAATGAGGCTAAAGTGTTCCTTAAACCACAGAAGAAAATAGTCAAGGTAGAAACTGACAACAGTGCCTTCATATATTCGATTACTTGTCAGGGAAAAGAGGGAACAAGGTGCTGTGCTGCGCGCGTGCACACACACATACACACAACAACAACAAAACAGAACAAGTCAGAGTTTCAAGGAAGCTGGTTTCCAGAGCCTATTTTGTGTCAGTCTAGGTGAGAGATGATGCCAGCAACTAGAGAAGAGACAGTTCGGAGACATGCTTTGGAGAACAACCTGAGAGGACTTGGTGAGAACTAGCTGGGGAAGGCAAGGATTAAGGAGAACGTGATGTCAAAGACTTGGATTTTAGGGTTGGACATTTAAAATAACTTCTAGTTTCTTCCTCTCAGATATTGAGATTCCATAAAATTTCAAATTATGACAAGTGTCTGTGAGATGAGAGCATTAAATTATTTCTGGAAAAAACCCTTGAGTGAAGGTTGCCAAGATGTGTGGACTAGCTTGGCCTTAGTGTATGTAGATAAGACAAGCAGGTCCACCCTCTAAACAGTCAGGACACTACTTTCTCTTTTCAGCCTAAACTGTCCTCACTAGATAAATTACTCAAAGGCAGCCAAGGTCTCTCCCTCTAAATTCCTCAGCCCCACCCAGTCTTTCAGTTACTAAGCAATGGATCCTTAAGAGCCAGTATACTAAGCACCTGGGGTGTGTGTAGTGCTGTACCTGCACTCTGGGCCATGGGGCTGGGCAGGACCGCCTAAGACACCAACAGAGACCTGACCTCCATCAGTTTAACGATCTCAAGCCACACCCTCGGAACCAGCTGATTCGAACATGTTTATTGAGCTAATCAACCAGGGCACAACAAGGCTGGGAAAGATGTTCCAAAAATACAGAAAAACTATTAGGCTCTTTCCATTAAACAAAGGGAAGCAGTGCCCCTCTCAAAAGATACTGAGGTGAAGCCCCCACCCCTCCAAACACAGAAAGAAATAGCCACTCTGCTCAAACACAGAGGAACAGAGCCAAGGTGTTATTAGGAAGACAGGGGCTTAAGGCTTCTTCATCTCAACATCGTCAGAGAAAGGTTAGGTTAGAAAGGCAAAGCCCACCTCTCCCTCCCCTCAGACACCATGGGTGGGGCCTGGAAGTACTGGTTCCTTTTGCTCCCTTCTCCAAGTGGTCATGTCGTTGAGATGGGGGGTGAAGATGGGGAAAGGTGCAGAGTCATGTCAGAAATCCTGTAATGAGAAAGACAAAAGGCAAACAGACATAACAACAGACCACAGAGCAGAGAGATGACTGCAAGGTCCTCCAGATGATGATTTTAATTCCCCTCCCGCTTCCTCCCAGGGCTACTCCTAGAGCTCTGGACACAGCTGAGAGGGGTGGGCCATGGCCCCGGTCTTTCTTTCCACCTGACAAATACATGGGTTACCCAGTATCTCCCAAGGACACAAAATTCCTCTTACTTTGCCTTCCACAGTCAGTTTTGGGGACACTCACCTCAACATTCAGCTCTGTAGAATCTAAGAGGTCCAGCCCAGGCTCACTGGGGGAAGAGTGCTAGAGAGAATAGGGTCAAAAGTCAGAAAGGTCCTCCCCTATTCCCATCACACTGCAAACAACCACAAAGTTCCCTTTCTAGTCTCACAATAACAAGTGCAAAGGTTGCCATAGGTACCCAAAGCAGTCAGGGAGGGAAGATTAGCAAAGGCAGGGTGGGCAGGAGGCCTAGATTTCCTGGAGTTATCAGAGAAATGCCTCCTCTGCCCTGCCAACTGAGCCCCTTAAAGTTGCTCAACTTTGGAGCCTGAGGTTGGGATTTTTCCTGAGGGGACTTTAGGAAAGACTGCAGTATTGTAACAGAGGCCTTGCTCTCTAGTCTCTGGTTTGAAGATGTCATTGTCTGTTTTTTCCTTCTGAACACAAGATCTCCATTCCCCTGCTTTATTCAGTCCTCTCTCCCGCCTCAAAAAACAGAGGAAGCAGAAGAATAACAGCAGCACATAATCCCTTTCAGTTTATAAGGTACTTTCACTTTGTATTTTCTGTAAAAGCTCCATTTCAAAGATAGGGAGGTTGTGCGGGGTTAAGGAGCTACCTTGATAAAGTGGTGGAAGTGAGGACTCTCAGGTCACCTCACTCAAATTCCATGTTTTTCCTACTAGCCTGGCAGCATTTCCTCTTGGATAAACAGGCTGGGGTAGAAAAGAGAGTGGAGGAACAGGGACTGAGGCAGCCCTCTAAAGAGACAGGAAGGAAGGTAGGGTGCCCATATGCCTGTGTGCACGTGCATTATAAAGAGACTTACTGAATGGGCTACAAGGATGGGCTAGATGACCTTTCATCTCTAGCTCTAGAACTCTTTTTAATTCTTAGATTCAGAGGCAAAATATTTATTTGGGGATTGAGAGGGGGAGTGACGCTATAGTCTTTTCTGGTATTTTTAATTTCTTTTCCCTATTTCTTTAATAAAAGTCCTAGCAAAATACAAAGCAATTTACAAACCTCCCTCTTTTACTGATTTTTTTTTTTCAAAAAGTCCTAAGTAGCTTTCAGAGACAAAGGCATCAGGACTGATAAAGGAGAATCACTCTAGTTTCTCTTATACCTGCCTCTAGTTCAAGAGGGAGATAGGAATGCTGGGGCCACTCACCTTGACTGGATCTTGCCATTCTTCACCTGACTCATTCTGAATTTCTAACTCCTCTTCATCCTCTTCCATGAGGCTGAGTCTGATGGCAGTGGCAAAGAATAGAGGTTTCCAAACTGCTCTTTATAGACCCCTGAGAGTTTCTCAGAGGAACCCCAGGGGAGCAGGGGTAAACAGTAAGTAGCGCAGAGTTCTAGGTTCCCATTCCTGTCTTAATCGATAGCTCTACTTATATCAGTTTTACATACTAAGGTTCCACATTATATTGGAAGGAATTATTCTGTGTTTAAAACAAGTCCAAAAAGCACCAGCATAGAAATATTGGATGACAAATGTGAAGTACAGATAGAGGATAATGAGAAAAGCTCACCGGGTCAGCCGGTTGCCCAGACCAGGACCTGAAGGATTGAGTGGAGTATGAAAATGCTGTGGACTCGAGAACCTTGACCTCTGGGTACCTGAAAGGGGCTGGCTGTTGGAAATAAGAATAGGATCAGTGAAAGTAAGTAAAAGTAAAGAGTAAGAAGAGGAGGTAAGGTGTCCAGCATTAAAGGAGAGGAAATATC